TTTAAGTGTCATGTTGAGTAATAATACTATAGCCTTCGACGTTACCTTCCAAAATTAATTTTTATGTTTTTTTAAGCTTTCAATTGCAATTAACTTTACCGTAGTTTGGCCTAGTTGTTAAGAGGGAAGCTATGAAATTACATAGTTTTTAGGTAAGAGCAGATTTCTAACTTAGTCTCATCAAGTTGATCGAGAGCAGATACCCCAGTTATCAAGAAACAGGAAAAATGAAAAATAGCCGTCATGTCCACATGGAACATATCATCTTTACTTTCTATTGGTCTAATCAAATATGGTTACCTTTTACACCACAACAGTACGTGATGAGATGAGACTCTACCAAACCATAAGCAAATATGAATGATTGTTATATTTTTGGTATGTGATATGTAGCGTGTTAGGTGAAGTTTTTTTAAAATTGGAAATAATAAATTTGGTGGTTTATTGAACTTCAAGGGCACTCAGCTGTCAGTGAAGTAGAAGTTCCTTTTCTTTTCTTCTTTTTCTTTTTACTATCCTCACTGCTGTTCACTTTCTACCTGCATATTTCAGTCTTCTTCTTTGTCGTCCTATTCAGTAGTTGAAAAATCTACTCAGACTATATGTGTCCATGACATTGATGTTTTATAGTGGGTGCTGCCAGGCCTGCACTCAAGTTGGAGCTGCAGGACCTGATCCCCTACCCCTAGTGAACAATATTTCAGCATTTAGAGATGCTTGCTGGAGGTTTTTGAGGCCCCATACAATACGTGGAACAGCTTTAGGATCTGTGTAAGTAGCTATGTCAATGAATTAGAATACACTAATTTCATTGAGATTCCTTGCTTGCTTTTTAAATATGTTCCCGACTATGTTAATTTTGATTCCTTTTCACAGTTCACTGGTGACTAGAGCATTGATTGAGAATTCACATCTCATAAAGTGGTCCTTGCTGCTTAAAGCTTTATCTGGTCTTTTTGCCCTAATATGCGGAAATGGTTATATTGTCGGTATCAATCAGATCTATGATATTGGAATTGACAAGTATGTATATTCATACTTTTCTCTGTGAATCAGTTTTAAGTTTGTTTGGCTCCATACTTAAATGCCATACTAGGTTGGCTCCTCAATACCAGATCATTAATCATGAGAACTAATTAGCAACAAGAATCAACAACCAAGTATGCGACTAGCAATTTTTTTATCCAATAGATTTGAATAATTATCATGATTTGGTGACAAACAGCTCCGAATTCACTTGGAAAATTCTTTCTTCTTTTAAAATTTTTTCTTGAGCTTTTTTCTGATTGGCATTTCTTTTGTCCATTTAAACCTCATTGGTAATTTGGTACTTAGTAGTCTGATGATTGACGTATAAACAGCAAATACATGTTAGTTCAGTCTACTGCTTGAAGAGATGCTTCCTATTTTTTTGAAAACAAATATTCAGACAATGATGCATAGTTAATGCATATAATTTGCCCTCTTTTTTGTTTCATTTGCAGAGTTAACAAACCATATTTACCAATAGCTGCAGGAGATCTTTCAGTCAAATCTGCCTGGTTCTTGGTGATATTTTTTGCAGTGGCTGGTCTGTTAATTGTTGGGTTGAACTTTGGGCCATTTATCACTTCTCTCTACAGTCTTGGTCTTTTTCTTGGGACTATCTACTCCGTTCCTCCATTTAGAATGAAGAGATTTCCTGTTGCAGCATTTCTTATAATTGCCACAGTACATACTTTTCTCTTCCCTTGAAAATTCCTACTTCAGTTTATGGCACATGGTTTTAATATAATCATTGAAAAAGCTTGACTATTTATATGTTGGAAGAGGTTGATGAATAGCAAGTTGGAAAAAATATGGCACGCTTGCTTGTTACTGGGATTCAGCTACATGCAACTTTTCAGTTGATTTAAAGTGAAAAATGTTGTTCACTTCATGTAGTATCATTTCTAAAGATTTCCAGAAAGTTAAATGACTGAGTTCAAGCTGTCCATTTCAGAACAGAAACGATTTCTTTTTAGAAATTTGAAACATGGCAATGGTGTTTAAATACTTGTACTTTGTTACTGTGTCAAGATATGCTACTTAAGTATCCAGTTTTATACAAATTTTCACCATAAGTTGAAAGTATTATTAATTTTGGTTCTCATAATTGCCATTCTAGTTTATAAGTTTCGTTTGTTTGGAGCACAACAGCTATCTTATAAACTCTTAACGTGATTTTAATGTGCATTGCCAGATTCTTTTCCCCAAGACTTAAAGCTTTAACGAGCAATATTGTCTTATAGTCAACTTAATTCTGCAGGTACGAGGTTTTCTTCTTAATTTTGGTGTCTATTATGCCACTAGAGCTGCTCTTGGACTTACATTTGAGTGGAGGTTAGTTGCTATTTATAATTCGTAAAGCAGTTTAGGCTGAATCATGGTGCAGATATGTGGCTCCTACTTTAAATTGATTATTTTTCTGAAGTTGGTGGCTTGGACTGTAAATGATTACCAAAAACCACATTTAGCTCAAAAATATAAACTATTTGTTTATTCAACCTGAATTTTGTACCACGTTATGGAATAGCTGTCATTATTCAATGAACTTCGATATAGTAGGTACTGCTTCTAGTATAGATACTGTGGGGTTTAAGCTATAGAAATAGGGGATTCTAATGATTCACATTCAAAACAAGCACTTTCTCTGATGCCATAAAATAATGGTTCTGGCAATCATATATCAGGTTTGGAACCTTTCAAAGCTTTTTACATGTACCTTGAGCTGCAATTAGTGCTTAAGTAGAGGTTGGGCTGGGCTTGTGTGTTTACGACCTGAAGCTAATGCACGATTGACTCATGATGAAAGTATCGCTGGTAGTTTCTTATCAGGTATAGTGATACCAGAACTTGGAAGAAGCATCATGACAGTTTGTGTAATTAGAGTCGCAATGTTTGAGTCTGCTGCTTATTTTTTATTTTTAAGTTTTAGTCGCTTAGTATGCACTTAATCAGGCTCTAAAGATTTTGTAAATTTTTATATCTGGACATTAAACTCCTTTGCAGCTCACCTGTGGCTTTCATCACTACATTTGTAACCCTGTTTGCTTTGGTGATTGCCATAACAAAAGATCTTCCAGATGTGGAGGGGGATCGCAAGTAAGATACTCCACCTACTTCCACATGACTCCTGTTTTAGTTGAAGTGATCTTATTTCTTTAACCTTTTTTTCAGACTTCCATTTTTTTTTTCTTTTTTAATATTTTCCCTGATTTTGCTCCTTTGGCCTTGTTTTCTCTGCGCTTCAATTTTTTGGAACTCCATAATTTGCATCTCAGTTCGTTTATTTAAATTATGCAATTATCTCGTCATCATCTGAAAGAGCATTATAATATAGGTTTCAGATATCAACCTTAGCAACAAAACTTGGAGTTAGAAATATTTCATTTCTTGGTTCTGGACTTCTGCTGTTAAATTATGTTGCTGCTATTGTGGCTGCAATTTACAATCCTCAGGTCAGTATATCATTTAAACTGTAAATATTTTTACATATCTTATAAAGTAAATTTGCTAAATTTCCATCTTTACAGGCCTTTAACCGGAACATAATGATCCCTGTTCATGCAATCTTGGCATCGTCTCTCATTTTCCAGGTCAATTTCTTGCATTACTTTCCCACCCACCACAAATGAAAGTTCTATTTTGTGCTATAGACTTGTTTTACCTGTCTTTGTTTTTCTCAACTCACAAATGTTTACTTCGATATAAAAATCCCACAGCCGTTTCTTTTCTTGATTAGTCTGTATTAATACTAATCGACAGCCAACACGAACTCTGTCCTTGAAAACAACTAATTTATCTCTATTGACTCAAAACTTACATAAATCTTGTTTCTTTTGAATCTCAGTCGTGGCTGTTGGAGAGAGCAAATTATAATAAGGTAAGGTTCTAGTTCTCACTGCTTAATAATATTGGTGAAACTTTTCATATCAAGAACAACCACGAGCGTTTTATAATATGTTATTCATTTAATGAGTTTGCAATTAAGGCAGTTTTTCAATCCAATCCTCAAAAAGTTTGGAGCCTAGTAATTACTTTGATTTGTTTTGCAGGAAGCAATCTCGACATTTTATCGATTTATATGGAATCTCTTCTATGCTGAGTATATCATATTTCCTTTAATCTAGCAGAACAGTCTCAACACTTTATTCATTTATGATCTTTTTGTTCGTGCATGAGATATAGGGAGAAAAATAAATTCGATTTGCTATCTTGTAAATAATTGCTATAAATTTTTATAGATTCATGTTGTATTATTATGTAATATGAAGTTCAGTTGTATCAATTTCATTTGAATTCCCCCTATTTTTGTTCTTTTGGGCCATTATAACATTCAGATCACAATGGTAGTTGGTTGTAATTTTAGCATTATTCTGTAATCTTTATTGCAACATAACTTACCCTGTGTGATCAAGCAAGGGAAGACGAAACAAGTCAATAACTTGAATGGAAAGTTTCATTATGCCTTGGATATGGATACGTGCGTAGGGCAATAAGGAAAGAATATCATGATCAACTTCTTGTGTAGCACATGTCAATCTCCAATCTCCATCTCCTTTCACTCATCAACAGCGCAGGACTTTACAAATTAAGAATAGTGGATATGGACTCTATACAGTTTGCCGAATAGGCCAGGTACCATTTTTCCTATTCAAAGTTGTCAAATAATTTGAATGGTTTTGATTGTGCAATTAGGCTGCACTGTTAACATTGTTGAACAAGATAATATATCATGTTATAAATGACAAACATAAAGGTAGTTTAAAGACCAAACTGTGTTAGTTGTGTAAACATAATAACTCTCTTTGGGCAAATCTGAGATGATACCTCTCCTTTAAAAGAGTCTCCTCACCTATATATATTAGTAGGCAATGAAAGCATGCAAAAGCATTTCATCCCTCAGTCCATTTTTGAAGCCTAAAGAAGCACATTAACTATGTATATGTCATCTTTTTCTATCCAATAATTGCAGAGTAATACGTGTGATACACGTTTGTTATTCATATTCTAATTACACTCAGCCGAAGGAGTTGCAGTTTGAGGCAATACCATGCTCTTTGAAGCAAGCGGAATTCTGGATGTGCTTGTGTCTTTAGATGAACTTGGAGGCGAAATCTTGGAGCCGATTCGAGATAGAGTCCGGGAATGAGAAGGCTGAACAACTTTGGCTCTGGGAGACAAGTGAGCTTGCTCTAATACCTTGTTCTGAAGCTCTTGTGGGTAATCTCTCATGCAACCAATGCGAGGTCCAGCTCCAGTTGTCCATCTGCTTGACAATTGTTTTGCCAACTGATATGATTTCATTTCTTTATGGGAATTAATACGTCTGAAGATTTTCTCCTTTGGTATCGGTCGGTCATCATAGTCTTCTTCATCTTCGTCAAATAGGTTTGATTTAGGAACCATGAATACTTCTTCCGATAAAAAGGACTCTTCAGCTGTTTCATAGCCGTCGTCTGAAGGAGAATCTGGAATGCGAACTCTGCAACTAGGTGGAAGTGTTTCCTTCTTGAATATGTCAAACACATTGTTTCTTTCTGGTATCTGAAGGTTAGTAAGCTTTGAGCGTAATCCTCTGGATAATCTTGATATTCTTGATTTTGTAGTCTCTGCAGGATTATTCTTGTCAATTGTGTCTCTCTTGTTCATTCCACTGGTATCGTCTTCAGTATATTCTTCATGACAGGAGTATTTATCCTTCTTGGTGAGAGCTTCTTCTTCTTCATATGGGCTTTGCTGAGTATTGCATAGACACATTTAATTTGTGTCAGCAGTCATAATCACCAGAAGAAAGTTCTCAAGTTATATTACACATTCAGAGGTTTGTCTGACTGTAACCAAAATATATAAAGGAAGGTCCCTGTGTACCTCAACATTGGTTAGATCCACACTGTTTTCCTTTAGGAAAGCCATGAATTCCAGGAAATTTTCCTCCGTAGGAAGATAATGCCCACTGTGAGGCCAAACTGCCTATTAAGTCCAGGTGAAGGGAGACAAAAAAGAAAAAAATTTGAAATTAGGCAAAAGGACTTGAAATAAATCTGAAATTATTAAGTACTTTCAAAGAAAGTCCTTAATTAGTGTTTTTTTTTTCTGAAAGTTCTTATAAAATTACTTCTTAAACTCACTCCTATTCAATTTATGAAGATATCCATAGAAGATTGGTATGGTTCTGATTCTAACCTTTAGAATACCCTGTTCCACAACTAATCTACCGGCAGCCAATGTGGCTCCACCAGCCAAGAAACTTGAATGTTGAAATGTGCCCTTTTTCTTTAGCCCAACATACAAATTTTTTGATGTGCTCAATACAAAGATCCATTTAGCATCTTTGGGTCCTCCTGTTGTGTCAAGAAGTTCCCCACTAGACCTGTAAGTAAACTTCCCATTTTCCACCTTAACCTCGTAGACCTTCCTTTCTATCTGCATAAGTGAACAATCTTTGAGTCATTATATTCAATATAATTATTTGAAATATTTTTAATGCCCTACATCAATTCTATATCAGGAAAGACGAAACTTGGCAGCTGCCCACTATTAAGATTTTGACATGTGTTTGTTTATTTTTTTTGAACCACTAACCGAACCAAATTATTCGATCGTCCAGTTCAGTTCATTGGTTTTGTTTCGTTACTTACACCCTTTTAACAGAGTGATGCAGAAGATGACGGGCTTACCGGACCAAGATATTTGATGCACTGTTGGTGAAGCTTATGTCTGGGACACATCTCCATGTTCACCTCTTTCCCTTCTCCTATATCAAGCCTAATATAGAATCGTCTGTTAGAGTTTTGAATATGTTCAATTTTTAACCTTATTAGATTCTGGTTAGTCTTACCAATAGAAGAAAGGCTGTTTGCTATCACAATGGAGCCATTTTACGTAATAAAATTGAAGATTATGACCATAGCGATGTCTAGGATCGATCTGTTTATGAAAGAGAAACATCGTCATCAAAAAAGAGAGAAAAAAAGCCCTTAAAAGTATGATTTAGACCCTGTTGAGAGTGAACTTACTGCCTCGAGCCAGTGCTGCAAAGCAAGTTTTCTGGCTTTTTCATCCTTTGACAAACCTTTTCCTACCTACAGAAGACGTTTGTGATCAAAATACGTATAGAAAGATTAAATATATTACAACTTATAACTTTAACTGTTAAGTCAAGAATCAACATTATATCAGAGTAAGAGGTCTTCGTATTTTATTTCCTCCTTATTTCATATAATAGTAGTCCATACTTGTAGGCAAGAGTGTTAAAATAATGCAGGGGCAGAAATGAAAAGTTAATAAATAAATAAATAAACATTTAAAAATAAAATTTATAATATTCTATCAACGTTATTTTTTAAAATTATATTTTATTAATGACTTGAATTTTATTTTTCATTTTCATGTGGTTAAATAATTTAAAAAGAATATTTCATTTTTATTAGGAGTAGTCATATATATTTTTTTATTAAAATGTCACAATTTAGGATATCTACAAATGGATGGTTACTTTTTTTATTTAAATTAGACAAAGTTTGAGCCATGCAGCCCTACAAAAAATCTAAAATTCAAACATATAAGAAAACTGAATAAAGAATTAGATAATTAAAATAGTAGTAAGTAAAAAATATTAATAGGTATATTTAAAAACATTTATTTTATATTTATTTAAAAAAAAGTATTAATTTTTATAATTAATTATTCCTTAAAAATAATTAATTCCTGTTTTAACCAAAATTACCAAATATGGCCCAGTCTTGGTAGTGTTCACCTATGTCCGTTGGATCTTGTTCTATAATATTACAAATATAAGCGTAGCAAGAGATCCAGAGGAATTAATTTTGTGGGTTTTCGTGTTTGGACCAAATATCAATAACCAAACGAATGAACTGTTAGTTACCTTGGCAGCCCTGGTTCTGGCCCTGCACCACCGTGAAACCGCGGTCTCTGGTCTTTGAATATCAAAGAACGATATTGAACTTCTCTTGAGTTCAGCAAAATCCAGCAGCTTCCACCTATTAAGTGACGATTCAGGAAAAGAAAACTCCAAATCTTTACCACTCCTTTTGAAATGGTAGATTGACATGAACATGCACCAAATTTTCCAGAGTTGACAAAGAAAATTGTACACAAACCATCTCTGCTCCACCAGAACTGCACAATCCGCTAACTGTCTCCTTGTCCTAAAGCTCTTGTACACTTTCTGTAGCTTCAATGCCGCCCGATTGTGTTCGTGCTCCTCCTCCGAACGCTTCGGCGTCAAGTAAACCCGAGGCGTCGTATTATTCTGTTGGTCATTTCTACAATGGTCACTAACTGATGTCCCAAACTCACTGTTCTCCATATCTGCCAGTGGAGTTTTGAATGAGAGGATGGTCTCCAATTCCCTGGGTTTCGTGGCGATCGGCCGCTCGACCCTGATTCTGTGAGAGCCGAAGGATCTTAGTATGGCTGGCTCTGAGTCCCTCCCATTGAAACTAACAGACCGTAATGGATTCCTCATGTCCCCATCTTGGAAGCTAATGGATCTAACAAGAACAGCATCGAAATCCAAATCTTCAAAATCTGCCAATGGACATGAAAACAACTGCCCCATTTTTCCCCCTCTTCTTTTTTGTTTTTTTTTTTTATTTTTTTATTTTTGGTTTTTTTGTTTTTTTATCTCTCACTTTAATCCCAAATCGAGTAGGGTCTCGATTTCCTGAACATCAAAACAAGAAAACATAACAAAACCAACCAGAGACATAAAGTTAGAGTAGTAAATATAAATTTTGTTCATCGTAGACAAAGAGCGAGAGAGAAAGGAGGAAATGAGAAGTAGAGTTTCTAACCTGAATCCGAGACAATGAGGAGAATCGGAGAGGAGAATAGTTTAAGGGAGAGGAGAGAGAAGAAATGGAGAGTGAATGAAACTGAGCCAGATGGGAGTTTGAGGAAGAAGACAGAACCAGAGGGGTTGGTAACAATGAGAGACAGAGCGGAGATTGAGGAATTGTCTTTCCATTGGAGGCTTTCCTTCCAAACCTCCATTGACCATTGCCAACCAAAACATCTGCTGACTCTCAAATCTCCCAATTCTGGGACCTTACTAAACATAGCAAAAATTAAGAGAGAGATTAGTGTATAGTAGAATGTTGCCACCTGATATATTTGGGTTTTGCCTTAGTTTTTTCCTTTTCTTTTTATAGTTTCTTTTGAATAATTCTCTGGGAAGAAAGTGTTTATCAAGGGTAACGATGAGATTCTAATTTAATGGATAAGACACGCATTACCTTCCCTTCTCTAAGATCCAATATATTACAATTGAGGACTCACCTGGTTAAGGAATAAAGTAACCTTTTTGTGAGGTTAGAGACTCAAATTCCTAAATATTGATGTACTCAACTATTTAAAATTATTGTATTTTAGTTATTCAACTTTCAAATGTTGAACTTCTATTTTAATCTTTTTTTTTTAACAAAAAAAACAATCATTTGTCAGGGAAATAAAAACAATCATATTTTAGTTATTGTCTTTTATTTTATTTTTCATAGACGTATAATATGACTTAAGTATGCGCATTAATGTGTTAATGTGGGCATGTATTGAAGTCACAACGGTTTGTTGGAGTAGATATTGGAATGCTGGAATACTAGGTGACAAAATTAAAAATATATATATTTTCTTTAAAGTCAAAGGATTGAAATAGATATTTTAAAATTCAATGGACTAAAGTTGTTTATTACTATTATTATTATTATTATTATTTTTTTGTCTCTCAAAGTTTAGGCACTAAAATATGCCCTTTGAAAGTTTAGGGCTATTTTTTGGAACAAATTGAAAATTGGAACAAAGAAAGGAGAACTCTTTTTAGTACAACATAATTACTGCTGAGCTATGCTGCTTTGATTGTCATGTTAAAATTATGATAGAAATAAATGAGATAAAAATAAAAATGAATGGATCAAAATTGTCACTTTTTAAAAGTATATAAATGAATATTTTAAAACTACATCAATAAAAATAAACTAAAGTCGAAAGAATCATGACCAAAATAGAATTTTAAAACGGTCTCTTAAATTTCATATCATACTGTTTATTAATTTTTTTTAATACAAAGGAGATAAAAAAATTAATTTTTTTGAGACATGGAGATGGAGAATTTCTCACGCAAAATTTGGTTTTCCCAAGTAATTAAAAAAACGCATTGCATTACGTTCGGACCGTGACTCCAAGGATATTATTTTTCTAAATGATGACATGCGAAAACCTGTATGGAACAAATAGCTGAAAGTGAGCATAGCTTGGTAATTGACATATATCTCCAATCAAGAGGTTGTGATCTCCCACTCATGTTGTACTAAAAAAACGCGGCATTCACTCCCTGGAACAATACGATTCTCAAATCTAACTTTAAAATAGGATATGATAAAAAAATGCATTATATTTTAATTTTAACATTAGATGTGAACATGTGCTTAGCTCAGCAATAATCAGTAACGGATCCAGACTTTGATGTCATATAAACATATAAACATGATGCAAAAAAAGTAACTAACTTGGTAATATATATCAATTTTTATTGTAAACTTCAAATTACATCAAAAGATACAGGCTTTGAAAGCTTTTTTAATTGTTGCAAAATTTTAGCTTCTAACCAGTGGTGGATCCAAAATTTTCGTTTAGGGGACTTCACTTTAAAATTTAGTAGAAATAATTTATGAGTTAGCAATCTCAAAATTCATAATTGAATTAAATTATTAATTTATTATACTATAATTGTCCTTTACAAATTTTCATATTATAAAATTGTTGCATGATAACTTCAATTAGTGATAGATCAAAAATTTATATAGGAAAGTATTTATATCAGTTTATATATTTTGATTATTAGTTTGTTCAATAAAAATCATGATGGATTTTCATATATAAACATACCAGAAATAAGGAGAATGAAACTTGAAATAATAAACATAATTTTTTATTTATAAAAATTATAATGTTTTTAAATATTTTATGAAAAATTTAATTTTTTTACATTTATATTTATATTTTGTATAAAAAAAATAAACAAACTTTGTAATATTATATATCAGTTATTACAAAATTAAGTTTCTAAATTTTTTATTTCAATTTCAAAGTAAAATTATACAAAAATAAGTTAAAATGTAAAAAGTTTTATGATTTATAAAGAGAAAAAAAGATTTTGAATATGTGTGTAAAACAATTTATAGTAAAGATATTACCCATATATAATGCAACATATCAATTGAAAAGAAAAATAAACTTTGAATTTGCTAGTAAGAATTAGACTATAAAGACTATAAATATATAGGTATAAATTAAACAAAAAAAACTACTAGGTTCAAAACAGTAGGATGATTACACCATTTAAAAAGTATTAAATAAGAAAATTACTTTTATAAAAAATTAGGATTTGAATATCTCACTCATCTTTTCTTTAAAATTAATATATTTATGTGAAGGAATTTAAAAAAAAAATAGAAAATTACTAATGGTATCATTTCTTTCTTTCTTTCTTTTTTTATTTAAAATTATGTTTGATTCTATTTTATCTTTTTTTTTTCCAAAATTGAGAGATTGTATGAAAAATATAATCAAAATCACGTAGCAGTGGCTTCGAACCCGGCTTCAAGGGGCTTGAGAGATTCACACAAAAACAAAAAAAAAAACAAAACAAAAATCGTCAAAATGGAAACTATGTACGCATTTTGCCACTAAACCATCATAGAATTATGAATTTTTTAATTAACAAAAATATAAATATTCTAAAGCTTTGGGGGCTCCTGGTAATTACTTTTAATTTAAAATGTTGTTAAAATATTATTATCAGATGTCTTCATTGAATTACAATATATATTGTGAAATTAATTTTTTTTTTTGTGTTAATTTGTAAAGTTTCGGCATAATGATTTCATTGTCGATTTTGTGCATTAATCAAACTTGATTTTTATTAAACTAGTGAGTTTCTTAGTTGAATTTTTTTATTTAAATTAATGTGTGAATTAGTGAAAATTAATAGAGGATAAAAATTAAAAAATTATTAAATTATAAGGATTAAAGTTTAATTTGATAAAATTAAAAGTTTATGCTAAAAATTGATACAACTTGTATAGTTTAGAGGTAAAAAAATAAAATTTCTTAATTATAATTTTAGATTCATTCATTATAAACATTCAAATTATGCAATATTAAAAACTAGACTATAATAGATCATTAGGTATGATATTAGTTTGTTTAGTAGAGGTACAAAAAATTCTTGTAAAATAAATATAAAAGAATTATAATTTTATGTATGCATAATAGTATTATTTTGTTAAAAATAAAAATATGATCAAATTATTTATATAAACAAAGAAATAAGATAATAAAACTTAAAATATTTGGTAAAACTTTTTTCAATTAAATAAAAAAAAATTTGATATAAAAAGTTGAGAGAGAAACCAAATTTTTAAGACTATAATATTATATATTTCTTATTTTTATCTTGAATAAATTTCAATTAATTAAAAAAGGTATAATTGACCATATAAATTTGGAAGGTCAAAAGGTCAAAAACCGAATAAACACTCTTTTTGAAAACAGAGACTGAGCAGTGTTCACCTTTACTGATGGTGTGAGCTGATCTTAAATGGGGATGGATTGACTCCAAACCAATTTGAAATGAAATTAGACTAGAAAAGAATGTAAATAGTAGGCTGCAAATAAATTTACTTGAGTGAGGATGGTTGTGCAACGTTTTAAAATCAACCAACAAAGTGAGAGAAAATGTATTGTAACTACTATTCTGCAGATCTCTTCGTCTTCCTTATCATATTTGTCTAACCAAATGAACTCCAAATTATCTGAAAATTTCCAGATCAAAGCTAAACTCAAAGGGTTTCATAATGGTCATAAATTTCAAGTCATTTGAGTCTCAGAGTATAAAGTTACCAAGCAATACAAGTTGTATCAGAAAAATAACAATTGTGCAGAAAATCACACCAACAAACTTTTTTTCTTTTTTTTTTTTAACTATAACAAGCTTAAAACAGAAGTACAATGCAAGAAAGCAAGTAACATAGAAGCTCAACCGACACCTTTGGATTAACTTGCAATGGTTGGAGCTTGAAAGAAAAGTTGGAAAAACAAGTAAAGATAGATGGATAGATAGAGATATATGTCAAATCTTGAGCCAAAGTTCTCATACCAAATGATGTACTCAATCCTATCACAAGTGACTTAAGCAATCCATGTAAGAACAAGCATCTCCTGAATCCACACGCCAATACCTAGTACACATACAAAGAATCATCCAAGGGGAAGACGAAGCTAGGGGACTTAACTTTACCTTCCTCTTGCAAGCTCGGACATGTTTTCACCTTCTTTTTTAATCTTCTTCTCGTACCACCTTTGAATATTGAACTCTGTCAAATGGACATTTGACTTGGCATAACCGTTTTGGGCAGCACTAGAAGAGGCTAATGATGTATGGTTGGTGGAATTTCTTCTATTTTCTACCAGTAAGTTGGCAAATCTGATCAATGCTTCTTCGTTAGTTTCTGAGGCACAACCTTCTTGTGCCCCAGTTTGTAGAACTTCCCCAGTTTGGAGATCCACCTTATTAACTGGCTTCTTCAATAGCTCTTCCCCGATTTTCACAAGCCGCTCGAGGTTTTTATCCGTTGCAATGTCCACTGATGCTACAGTCCCGCTAAGTGTATAGTCTTGAATACGAAGATAATCGACCTCATATTGATGCGATAAAAATGAGACCCAAGATTCCGGCATTTTTTCTCCTCCACACAGTAACATATTTATAAGAGGACGCAACCAACAGAATACGCCCCACCTAGCTGCCCTTTTCGCATCTAGTTTGGCTTTGTTTTCAGACGAGCCAGTGCCGAGGGATATGACGAGAACTCGTTTCGGAGGGGACGATGAAGAACTAGTAGTCGACTCCAGCATCTCTTTTACCCCCAAGGATGTCTATAATCAAATTAGAATATAATTAGTCAATCTGAATATGATATAATTAATTAATCAATAGCATAAAAACCAAATAATACTTCATTACCGGATTATTAGCAATAATTCCACCATCAATAAGGTTAAATTCCTTCATCCTCTCTTCAGCTGGCCCCACGTTGTCGTTGTAGGTTTTGAAATGATACGGAGGGAAATAAGTAGGTGCTGCCGATGTGGAGATGCAGATATCGGAAAGATTAGCATTCAACAGTGGATCTTTTTGTGCCTGCAGATGAAAAAAGAACAAATCTCATAGATTAGTAGCTAAATTATGGAGCTTATTAACTAATTACAACATGTTACACATGCACAACCAACCTTAAAACTGGAGAATATAATGGGCTGGTTGGCTTTAATATCGAAAGTTGGTATCACGACGTTTGTGAGTGTATCACTCAGTTTGATATCAGTAAGATTCTTCTTGATAAGGTCTTGGAGATAGCGACCGTTGTACTTTGGACGCAGGAACCATCTCTTTAAACATCGATATCGACATCTGCAATGGACCAAAAAAGAAGAAGAAAAACAATTAAAACAGAACACAAAACTTCTTGAAAATTCAAAAGCCTGTGCAAAACTAAAAGTACATACAAACATTATGGGCAAAAATAACGTATAAAAAATCGTATTCATTAGCCAAATCGAGCATAATCAACAGTAATTATCATATATTTTCAACCAAAAAATTGTGAATTTGATCTCCATAGAAAAAAATAGTAGCATTCATTAAGTGCAATTTATGGTGTGATACACGTGTAAGCGGTGGCTCAGACATAGAAATGGCATAAAATATATATAACAGAAAATAAAACTAATTTCCAATAATACCCATATTTTTAAGTGGTTTATGCAAAAAAGAGAGAAGGGGATTTGATAGCAATTAATAGATCTCATTTCATCATCCTATCTCCAACTTTAACGAAAATTTCCCACTCAATCTCAGGTTGGGTTTTTGATTGGAACCCTAAAACCCACCGCAAAGCGGAATTTCCTTTTCTGATCGATAAAACCCGAATAATCGGTTCAATCACAAACCCAACCCATGAACGAACCGTGGCTTAAACTGATCCATCCAACCAACAGAATCTTAAACATTACTGATATTAATAATTACCTTGTCTGCGGAAATATTCGAGGGCAGTGTCTGAGGTAGAAATCTTTCAATTCAGCTGCAGAGAAGATCGGTACGTTCGGCTGATCCTTGCTCGGCGCCGTTAGCATTCCCGTCAGCAGTCCGCCAGTACTCGCTCCGGTTATTACATCAAAATAATCAGCTATCCTGGCATCTGGGCGGTCAATTTTCTAGATCCGACCCATTAGGCATATAAAGTCAGTAAATGCGAGAGAGAGCGCGCCGAAGAACGACGACATAAAAACAACACATGAATACCTGTAACACAGACTCGAGGAAGGCGAGATGTACTGCCGGTATAATCCCTCTGACGCCGCCCCCGTCAATCGCGAGAACGGCGAAAAACTTCTGACGAGTCGGATCTCGGGCCACAGAAGAACTTGCCATCGAATCGTTTCCGAAAACGAAAGGACTGTTGACAGGAGCCGTCGCTGTCTTCTCGTCACTTTGCCGGCGGCTGTATGAAAATGAAATGAAGAAGACGAGTGAAGAAATTCTAGTCAAAAGAGTTGGGCCGTGTCCATTTGACAACCTAATTTGTCCAAACGACTAACGAGAGCTCGTTATTATTAATTATTAAAATATAATTCACTTTACGTTTAGCCTCCAATTAAATAATGAGTTCTCTTTTCTTTTTTTTTTTTTTCTGGAAAAAGCTCTCTTTTCAACAAGAATTGAATAATCGTTATTCTGAATATTAATAATTTTAATCTTTTTTTTAATTAGTAATAATTTTTTTATTTAAAAAATATATCCATGAGTGAATCCGATTGTCACGGAACGGAATCTTTTGACGCGTAATTCACCCCACGAGACAAGGCCTCAAATCTAGGTCGTACACGTGGACACCTGTAAGGGAACAAATATTAATAGACCGCAGCTTTTAATTATTTCACAAACCACAACAAATGGGAAAACGTTTGAATTAAGTGTGTTTTTCATTTAACAAAATTCTAATATGTTTCTTTAATTGTTGACCTAATCTATCTCTAATTATTAATTCTTGATTTCCAGTTGAATTTATAGAAGTCGTTAATTATCATCACTTTTTTTTTTTTGGAGAAAAGTTAATTATCATCACCTTTCTGTAATATTTCTATGATTTGAAAATTGAGTGGTTCTCCTCCTTTTTTATTAATCTTTTCTTTTTCCTTGTACATTGAAGTCCCTATCATTTCTAAGTATATACTATAGTTAGTTGGGTCATAAAGTTTATATATTTCAACAATAAATAAGATATGCCTATATAATATATTTATTTTTTAATTGGAGGATAAGTAGAAAGTACATTATATTTTAACAATGACGAGTTGTATTTTATTGAGTCGAAGTTTCACCATCATCGAAGAAAAAATAATTTCATCGATTTTCTTAAAAATCTAAAGTATGTCTTCGAAATAAAGAAAAGAGCGATTACTCTTAATAACTATTTCATTCAAAAATAGAGAAATTATACTAAAGAACATAAAATAAATATGTATTTATAAAAATATATTGCTTTTAAAATAACATAACAACTGTCATATTAAAACACAAAAACATACAAAAGAATTACAAAGCAATACTTCAACTAATAAAATTATATATAAAAATGGAGATAGTTAAAAATAATAATAATAAATGTGTCAAACTACCGATTTTTTTGTACATCCATTCTATTTGGAACATAAATTCTTTTGACCCAAATTAGTGTTATAAAAATTGAAATAAAAAATAAAAGAAAACTGGTCGAGACACCTAGCAAATAGAAAATCAACTTGAATTGGGACTGAATTTTGGTCCAAAAAGATGCATGTAAAAGAGCAAAAGATAAAACAATTGTAGTATATGCTTGAAAATTTGTGCGCAAAAAAAAGTTAGAAAACAAGTATATGCGAGTGTAAGGTGGAGTGACCTGAATAAATTAAAAAGAAAAAGGAAGATCTATTTTTTCTCGGTATATAAATTTGGGCAATGATGGATCCAAAATTTCTTGTTAGGAGAGCACGAAAGCATATAAACATAGGTATCAATTTTAAACTTGATACGGCGATGTGTATCAATTTGCACCTTTCACTTAGATAGATTTTCATTTGAAAGTTTGTTGAAAAAAATATTTTTGTTTATCAAATGAGTTAGAAAATATATATTTATGGTATGAAATAATAGATAGAATTTAGACAAAACCAACGTTAGAAATATTTTGTAAAAAATAAAAAACTTAATTAGACATAAAAGTTAAAATTATTTGTTTTAAAAGAAAATAATATTTTTCGAAAAATACATTGAAACAACTAAAATAAGTGGGCACCACGGTAAGATTCGATCCGAAGATAATAAAAATATATTAAATAAAGTAAAATAGACCGAAGCTTAGACACAAAAATCAATGCAAATATATTTAAGAATAAAAAAAATGCGGGAAAAAATCAATAAAAATACATTTAAAAAACAAAAAATAGCATTAATAAAAATACGTTTAAGAAACAAAAATAAGAAATGTTACAAAAACAAAACCAAAAAATCAATAAAAATACATTTAAAAAACAAAAAATAGCATTAATAAAAATACATTTAAGAAACAAAAATAAGAAATGTTGCAAAAACAAAACCAAAAAATCAATAAAAATGCTATTGCCGGGAATCGAACTCGAGATACTGGTGTCGGGGCAAGGTCACAAGTGAAGGCTAAATGGGTTTTGCTTCCGTTTTCTCCTTTTTTTTATATAGTTCTTTTTATTTAATAATTCTCTGAAGAAAGAGTTTATTAGAGATAATCATGACACTCTAGTTCGATAGATAGAGAAGATCCAATATATATTGTCAAGTAAGGATAGCTTAACTGATAAAGAAATAAAGTAACCTTTTGTAATGTTAGAGGTTCAAATTCTCGTCCCACGTGTTATCGATGTACTTAGAAGGGAAAAAAAAGGAATAAATTGATCCCACAAAAATTTGTTCAAATCTGTTAAGAAAAAAACAGACACTTTAGTTAGGTTGGATAGTGGTTTCAATAGTTTAGTTTATAATTTTAAAAATTATTATATTTTAATTTTTCAACTTTCTCCATGTTTATTTTACTCTAAACTTCAATTTTAATATAGGATATTTGAAAGAAAGATAATCATTTTTTAGGTAAAAAAAAAATTGTGTTTTGGTCATTGTCTTTTATTTTGTTTTTCATAGACGTATAATGTGACTTGAGTATGCATATTAATGTAGGCATGTATTGAAGTTATAGAGGTTCGTTGACATGAGTTATTAGAATACCTTAATACAAAATAAAAAAAATCTTTTATTTTTAAAATTTAAGGATAGAAATAAATATTTTAAAAGTTAAAAAGCGATAAAAATTGAAACAATTTTTTCCTTTTGGATTGAAAGCCTATTTTAGTATTTTAAATTATAGGCTTATTCTAGTTTAGTCCCCAATCTTCTGTGGAGTTTGTTTTTAGTACTTGAAATTTTTATAAAAAAAAATTCTTTTACTTTTATTATTAATTTTCATAACAAAAATCTAATATGATGTATATCTTTCCTGTTCATTTACCAAGATGAGTGTGGATAAAGTTTTTTTTTTTAATTTTTTAAATGGAGTTTCAACTTTTGACTTTAAAAAACAAAGTAAGATGTCTTAATTGAATAAATTTTTTAAATACAAAAATATATAAGGATTTGGATTCAAATTCACACCTTTTGATTTTGATGGTTAATAACAGTAAATTAACAACCAATATCAATTTGGTTTAAAATAGAGTTTGAGGACTAAAATAAAATATGTTGGGATTAAAATAAAATGTACACGAGGGCCGAAATATAATTAAGAAATGTGGACAATATTCTAGTAAAAAGGGGAACTTTCTTTTAAATATTAATATTGAATCTTTTTAAACATGTGAAATTACCACTAAACCAAAAAGTTTAAGACTTTTCCTATATTTCAACCCGATATTGTCATTTCCTCATAATTTAAAGATTGATTTCCACTTGTTAGATTTTGTCCAAATTTTCAAATTGTAAGTGTTTAGTTTAAATGCTATTTTTGTCTATCATCTCTATATACTTTTGCTTTCATTCATTTTCGTCAATTTACTTATAACTCTGGTTTATTTTAGTCATTCTACTTTTAAAAGGTTTGTTTTGAGCCTTGTATTTTTAAAAAGTGACTAATTTGATCCACGTTTTCAAAATTTTGACACACAATTTATAAACACAATATTAAAACTCTTTTAAAATACAAATTTATGGTTACATTTCAAAGAATTCAGTGAGTGAACTGTCATGTTAAAATTATGATTGAAAGAAATGAGATAAAAATAAAAATGAATGCACCAAAATGATCACTTTTTAAAAGTACGAGATCAAAATTAACATTTTGAAAGAATTTGAACTAAAATGAACAAAAGTTGAAAGTAAATGGACCAGAATATATATTTTACAAATACATTGACCAAAATAAACAAAAATTTTAAACTGTGTCTTAAACTTACCTATCATATTGTCTACTAAACTTCCTTTTCTTTTCTTCTAGTACAAGATAAGGAGAATCGAACTTACAATTTATAGATATTTTTAACCAGTATTTTACTTAGATTTATTGTATATTAAACTTTCATATGATAATATAGTATTAATTTTTCTTATCATATTGTCTATTAGAAGATTGAATAGTTGGAAAGATTTTCTGGCACCACGATAGACCCGTTTATAGACCTACATTTGAAAAAAACAAATGTGAAATAAATAAAAATTTAGAAAAAACAAAAAAGAAGAAGAAAGGGTCATTGGGAAGTACAGGGGAAATTTAAATAAAAAAAAATGAAAAAACTTTCTATATCTTCTTATTTTTTCCATTAATCAATTTCGAAGTTTAAATAAAGGGGAGCTCTTTTGAGCACAATAATACAAAGTTTAATTAATGAATCGCCCATAAGAGTCCAAAGACTCGAGTAAAATTTTGTAATAATTATTACTATATATATTTATTTTTTTACAAAGGCATATATATGTTCACGAATAATCAATTCATTATGGTTCCATTTTCCTGTCCTATAATTATCCAATTACAAAATTCCAATATGCATTTAAGGAAAAAAAAACTTTCAATTTAATCCACTCATTTTCCCCGATATCTATCTAAGTTGCTTTTGAGACTTTTCTCGATTAACTACGCATTATGATGTATTTATTAGATTTTTTACCACAGTCCACAAAAATAAGAAAAATAAGAAAAGAAAATGTTAAATTACAAATTTGTGTCTTTCATTTTTATAATACATCCTTTAACCTTTAATTTTAATTACGTCAAATAGATTTTTATATTTCGTGTGTAAATGTAAAGTATGATTGGTTGAGTTTTAGTCGATCCTTTTTTAGAGGGAGGGAATGATGTGACTTTTTGGTTAGGTGAAAATACTTATCTCTTTATTAGTCATGGTCTATCTTGTTCAGACCATCATTGATTGTTTGACGATTAAAGATACAAAATTCAAAATTTAATAATAAAAAAAGTTGCGTATCAATC